CTGTTCGCTCCCCTCCCCCCACCCCCATTTCCCTTTCACCCCCTGCTGGGCAGCGTCCTCCAGGGCTACCCTGAATGGTGCTGCTAACCCCCAGGGTTCAGACATCACATACCAGGCCCTCCCCCACATTATGAGAGGAGGGGGGGGGGGAAGAATTGCCAGATGTTGTAAAAAAGGAAACATCTGGGGGGTGCATTTAGAGTGCACTTAGGACAAGTTTTAAAACTTTTCTGTGCCTCTGCAAGGGCTGGACATATGTTTAATGGAAGTTGAGATGCTTACATAATAAACATGACTCCAAAAGCTGGGACTTTAAATCACCATGACAATCATTGCAAAACTCGGGATAAAATATGAGAGTTGGCACTAGGCCTCAAAACTCAGCCCATTCCAGTGCCCCTTTACAGTGATTTTTTATTAACTCTAGCGAAAGCCAATGGACACAGATAAGCTTGTAGATATTTTTTATTCATATGAGGAAATGGAGAGAGGAAAATTCTGAAAAGTCTCTGTCATATTATAAGATGGCTGATTACAACAGCTGCATAATTCAAATTATGCATCACTGGCATGGCAAAATGTTTCCTTCGAACATAAGATGCATACGTTCTCTGAAAGAGGACAGTGAATTTGCATTCTCTTTGGGGGGGGGCAACGGGGAGAAATCCTTTGTTGAACATCAAGCAAGTGTATTTGCAGCTGTTGTGGTTTAAAACCAACAGATGGCTGTGTTTGGAGGTATTGCTATGTGTGAGAAAGGCAGCTGAAGGCTGATTAAATGTATTTTAATAACTAGAAAAATAAGAATTCTTCCCTAACCCAATGCTGCAAAAAGAAGAAATATTTATTAAGAGAGTCCAAATTTTAGAGGGAACCAATTAAAGGTGACCTGTAAGTTGGAGGAGAACTTGGTTTGTGCCCTTTTTTTCTTCTTAATCTTCTTCAATTTCTCATTGAATTCTGGCATGCATCAAAGGGCAACATTTGAACCTTAATTTGTGAATTAGAAAAGCAAATTACCAGTAAAAGCTTTCCAAACCAATTTTTATTCTGGTTCCTGCAGGACCCCCACCTTTTATGCTTGTCAACAAGAAATAACTGTGGATGGCTGCTGCCATCTACAGAAAAAGAAGTATATAATTATTGCTCAATACAGTGTGCTACAATTTATACCCTGATCATGCATTTAACATGCTGACATCACAGGTGAGTAATTCCATTTAATTTTAACGGGACTTTGAGTACATGCCATTAAACATCTGTATATCTTGCTCCTCTAGCCCCAGAGCACACTGAGGCTGAAATCCCTGCCTAGAGCTTGGGCTTCCACTGGGCATTAAACCAAAAGCCCATCTTCTGCTGACAGTGCTGTGCCAATTCCTAGTAGCTCCACAGTCAGGAGTTCCCATTCCCGGTTTGTTCTCCTACATTCCTTGCCTGCAAGAACATTTTGTCTAGGCCTCTTCCTCTTCCATGAGCCTCTGCTCATTGGAATAGCTTCTGAACCAGCTTCCCTGAGGAGCTTCTGCTAAGGAACATCTGGAGCTTTCTGAGTCCTAAGGAGCCAGTCTGAAATTTTGTCTCAAATGGTGTCTGTTAAGTTAGATCCCAAGCCGCCTTTCCCATTTAGTAGAATGAGCTGAATAACTGTAAGCTGCAGGCCTGTCTTGCCCAGCCCAGGAAGCACTAGTGCCAGGATCAAAGTCTGTTTGGGTCATTCCTTCGGAGCACAGTTTTATTTTTCACGCATAAGATTCACAAACACGGTTATGCAAACTGGCAACACTATCAGGTAACCAGGGACAAATTGTGAGGTGGCAACATTGGCAGATGATTCAACTACTTAGGATAGTTAAGTCCCATGCAGACAGTGAAAAGTTACAAAGAGATCTCACAAAACTTGGTGGGTGACTGTTAGAGTTGCCAGGTGTCCAGTTTTGAACCGGACAGTCTGGTATTTGTGGGTTCTGTCTGGGAAACAAATTGAGAAAATACCGGACATATAAAATGTCCGGTATTTTCTAATTAGGTAAGTTTTATTATTATTAGGAGTATCAGTACGTAGTTGCAAACTGCCTGGCTGCGTGAGTGTGTCTACCAGCCAGGCAGTATTAAACTATGCCAGGGGGTGGGAGGGAATCCCCTGGGCCGGACTTGCTCGTGCTTCTCCGGGACCGTGCGCGGGACGGGCAGCGCTCCAGGATCTGCATGCGCCTGGGTCAGTCCTGCTCCCCACTGGCTTATTCTCTCCCTCCACTCTCCCCCTCCCCTCCCCCGCCAGCCCTGCTTCCTACCAGCCGGTATGTCCCCCTCCCCGCCTCCTCTCCACCAGCCCTGCTTCCCGCCGGATGGTTTCCCCTCCCCACCTCCTCCCAGCCAGCCCCACTGCCCTCCCGGCCAGTCCCCTACCCCCATTTGAGATCAAATGTGTCCGGTATTTTTTTTGAAGCCACCTGGTAACCCTAGTGACTGGCCATCAAAATGGCAGATGGCGCGACACATGGGGAGGCACAAGGGGCCACATGCACCCAAATGTGAGGTGGGGGGCCCAGCTAGCTGATGGAGGGGCAACTAGCAGTGGAGGGGGCCTGGCATCTATAGGAGAGGTGCACTCACCCACAGCAGCAGGGGAAGATGAACAAGGCAGCCCCACTGTTTTGCTCTCCTGGCCACGTGACTCCACTCGCGCTGGAGAACGCAGGGCAATCCTCTCCCATCTCCAGAATGGCGCAGCTGGGAGGCTGCCTTGCCCCATGTGCCCCATCGTTGCCAGTGAGTGTGGGGCAGCAGGGAGATATGGCAGACTCGCTATTCCCCCAGATGGCTTCAGTTCGAAGCACTTACTTCGAAATAGAGCACTCGTCCTCCAACTTCCCTTAGTCCTCGTACAATGAGGGTTACAGGAGTCGGAGTAAGAAATCCTCCAGCTTGACAGTATTTTGACATTATGTCAAAATAACTGCCGGCTGTGTAGACGTGGACTGTGTTATTTCGATTTATCGCTAGTTATTTCCAAAAAATGTTGGAGAGGCAGCCAAAACAAGCTAGAAGAAATGTTGGGAACCATTGGCAAAGGCATAGTTAATAAAGCAGGAAATAGCTTGTTGCCTTTGTATAAATCCATGGTACACCCACATTTTGAAGACTGTGTGCAGATGTGGTCACCCACCCCATCTCAAAAAAAGATACTGGAATAGAAAAGGTACAGAAAAGGGCAACAAAATTATTAGGGGTACGGAGCAGTTTCCATATGAGGAGAGATGAATACAGGCCCATACACAGGAATTTCTGGGGGTGTGTGCTTTTTTTGTAAATGTGGACTGCACCCTTTGCACACGCACATACACAAACTCTCTGCTGCCTATGGGCTTGCACAACTAATATTAGCCCCTTTTCTCCTGGTTCCTGATAAAAGCCTTCTAATTTATAGCTACCAATATTTGTGGCAGGACTGTACTTTACCCTGCCTATCAAACTGCAATCAAATGATTAAACCACGTGTCATTCAACTGTGGTCCATGGACTACAGGGAAGGCGGGAGGGTGTCCGGAACTAGGGTGGTTAATGTAGTCAATCGAAGTTGCAAATGAAGCCTGGGATTTAAATAATTCGAACTACCTACTCCGTGCCGCGTGTAGCCGCGGGCACGGAGTCCGAACTACCGGGGATTTAAAAATGGTGGCGCCTGGCATGATGCAAATGAAGCCCGGGATATTTAAATCCCGGGCTTCATTTGCAACTTCGATTGACTACATTAACCACCCTAGTTTGAACTAGGGTGGTAGTGTAGACATACCCTAGTTGATTACATGATGACAGCTAGTAAAGGGAATTGAAGGACAGCTCAAAATGCTTCTAATAATAACACCATCACTTTCCCCTGTGAAGCATGACTGTACTTGCTGTGGGAATGTTCTGTGATAACAATGAGAAGGAGCATGGAAGGACACTGTCCCAAAACCACAAGCTTATCTGTTTTACCCATCTCAGAGGGGGAAGGGGCCTATACGGTCCCTGAAGGGATTCAAGTTCAGCTCTAGGCACTGGAGCCAGGGTACAGCAGGACCCCAGCCCCTTACCCAAACAGCTGTGGTAACACCTGTCTCACACAGGAGCACAGCTGTCACACACAGAGTAGCTTTGAGCCCTTTTGTACTAACAGGGCAGGAGCAACACCAAAAGCAGGACAGGCAGGATCTTACTGCACTTCAGATCCTTCCCGTGCCAGGTCAACCACTCCCGTGAGGGTCATTTCAGTCGCTCCCCCCACCATCACTGCTCTGTCATCCCCTGCCT